TACTATACTATACTATACTATACTATACTATACTATACTATACTATACTATACTATACTATACTATACTATATTATTACTATACTACACTACACTACCCTACACTGTTCTGTTCCTATTATTTCTGTTTCTATTCTCTTCATCAGAGAATGAACATAGTTTGCTGTTTCATTCTTACTGATCGTTTTTCCAGCGTCCTTTCCTATCCTAACATTTAAATTTTGATGACATAATCCCTGTGCAGATAGCGGTACTAATCAGATCTCTGCCTGCTTAAGCTTTCTACCGCGATCTGCTAAATTGACTCTCTGCTGCCCTCTACAAGACATTTTTAATACACCCATTATTAAATTCACTCCAGTCAATTTGCCACCTGCCACAGTTGTGCAAGAGGGACATAATTTATTGCCGGGGGCAGTCACTGTGAAACAGGGAGACATGATTCACATTATACAACTGTGCGAGCTTCTCCTCCAACTGGCCTAGAGTGAACCTCTGCACCACGTTTTGGTCATTCCTGGCAAGGATGGCCCAGGATCGAAGATGATTGTTGTCTATCACGCAGCAGGCTGCAGACCACAAATGGCTGGGCCTGTTGACCCTCCCTCCAGATATGTAGGTGTCTCCTGGCACTGCCCCCACCACCGCAAACGTCTGGTGGCATCCTCTGGTCATCTGCTGCATGGTGGTTTGCTCGTAGTTGTTCCAGGCTCCGCCGTTGAGTTTTATGAACTGGGGGACGATGTTTGTCAGGGTGAAGGTGGAAGACTTGGCACTGTAATCAGGCTGATGTCCATTTGGGTTCAGATGGCCCCTGTTGCAATCAGTCAGGTTCTTGTAATCTTCCAAGACGGCCTGGCTGTCCTGCATAGCTGCTTTGGGGCCCTTTTTATTCAGGAAGTCCCTTTCTGTTTCCATTTCACTTTGGAACGTGGAACTGATGAGCTGTGGAAGAGCAGAGAGGAAGCACAAACAGGGGATAAAAGGAAAGGTAATAAGGAAGGAAACAAAAACGCCCAGCACTACAGAGTCTTCAAATCTACAGCCATGTTTCCCTAACATGTCTTGAACTGGTAACGTTCACATTACAGGCTGAGCCTCCCCAAAATCAACTGTATTGTGGTTTCACACAATGTGCTAAGACTAATAAAGGAGAATATTTGTAGCTCAGGTTTGACATGAGGGGTCCTTGGTTCTCTCTGAGCATTTCTGTTTTCTTACAGGTGTTTCATGACCCAACTAGGTAACATCATCAGTGCTAGTAAGGAGTGGGGTTTGCTGCCATTTAGTAAGGAGGACAGCAAAGTATACAGTAACATTGATGATGTTACCTACTCTGTGTCATGAAACATCTGCAAGAAAATAAGCCAGCTCAGAGAGCACCAAGGACCCCCCCTCGTGTGCTAAGACCATGGCTGTTTCCAGCAAGACCGAGCCGTAAACAATATATAGATTTAATATATTATTGTTATGTTTGGTAGCACAGTCGGCTTGATGTTCAGACTGGATGTGGCATTTCTATCCACTTATGGAGTCCTTCCCAGGGAGCTGAGATAGGTAGGTGTTGTTGTTTAAGGGTCTTAATAATTATGATTATTAGTATTGGGTTCTTTTCTGTATCCTGTACAGAGATGGGTTTATAAACTGTACAGATGCAGATACATAACTCAACAAGACGTCCATAACAAAGTACATTTATTGGTTCATCAGGTATCCTCGTAACTCACATTTGTGATGACGTTCTTCTTTAATGACCAATCCTTTGTATATCTGCCTTGTAGTAAAAGATGGTTATCCCCTAACCCATCCCATAGCAATAGAAATCAGCTCCCATGAGTTAGGGAATTCAGGCAAAAGTGAGGGAAACTCCCCCAACCCATTGAAGGTCAATTTAGTGACCAATCAGGATTACAGATGTGGTCACGTGATATGGACTACATTTCCCAGGATACCTTTAACTACATTTACCATGATGCCTTCCCTTAAGGGGACTGCTCATAATTCCTAAGTAACTATCCAATTCCCATAGACTGGCTGGGAAAGCACAGGTTCATTGTAGTTGGCCAGATGTTCAGACTGGATTTGGCATTTCTATCCACCTAGCGAATTCTTCCAAGGGATGTGAGATAGGCAGGTGCTGATCAGCAGTGGGATCCTACCGGTTCCACTACTGGTTCGGTGATTGCACGCACGCACCTAATGTGTGCATGCAGCTTTCCCCACACCAGCTGAGGCCTGCAGCGCCAATCAGATGAGAGGTTAAAGAAAAGCGCAGGGGCAGGTGGGATGGTCGATCCTGTGCTTTTCTCTTCTTTCTCCTCTCAGCTGATCATCAAAGGCTTTTTTTCTCCTCCCAGCTGATCGTCGGAGGCTTTTTTTACTACTGGTTCAGCCTAATGCAGGGGTCTTCAAACTTGACAGCATTACGACTTGTGGACTTCAACTCCCAGAATTCCTCCTCCAGTCATGTTTGGTCAGGAATTCTGGGAGTTGAAGTCCACAAGTCTTAAACTTGCTAAGTTTGAAGACCCTTGGATTAATGGGTAGCAATTTTTGCTACCAGTTCGGTCGAACCGTCCTGAACCGGTATTATAACTCTACTGATGCTGATGTTTAATGGTGTTATAGATAGAATACTTTATTGGCCAAGTGTGATTGGACACACAAAGAATTTGTCTTGGTGTAAATACTCTCAGTATACATAAAAGAAAAGATACAGAAACCATAAGAGAGCATTTCACCGAGGCAACCGTTGTCAATGCCATCTTGGCAGATTATCCATCTTGGCAGATTATAGGTATTTGTCCAAAGATGTAAACTCTTCTGAGTGAAGCTGCCTTTTGCAATTGACTGACGGTGAATTTGTTGATGCTGATGGATGTTCAAGTGGTGTGCCAGATGTTTTGGGATTGCAGTCAAGGCCCTGATGGCTGTTGCTTTTCCAGAGGTGCTTTTTCAAGAGGCAACTGGACTATCTTGTTTTTCTTTTGAAGATGTTTTTCTTCTCATCCAAGAAGCTTCTTCGGCTCTTTGGCTTTCTTTCGCCACGGTCGTTCTATTTCTATTTGCAGGTCTTTGTGTGTTGTGTTCTTCTCCAGTTCCTTCTCTGCTATTCTTCTGTCTCCAGGTACTGCCATGTCTACTATCTAGACTGATTTTTCTTTCTTTCTTTTTTTTCCATAAAGTTTTTTGTATTGTATAACATATAAAAATTCCATTATTGGTTAAACAGTGTGTTGTCTGGGTACAAATAGTTTTAGGAAATAATCAGCACGTTTACAATAATATTCATTATATTGATATTTCTATCATAATGATCATAATAATACTGATATTTGCTTATCCATTTAACAAGCCTTCCTTTTCTCATTGTTCCTTTTTTTTATATTTCCATGTTTCTAACCTGTTTTTGTCAGCTAACCATTGATAAAATCAGTCCCAAGTCAGAAAGTATTCAGTTTCTTCCTTTCTCTTAATTCTAAGTTTTTTCTTTCTTGATGACCCAGATTGTCAGGAGCAATAGGCTGACTCTGTAAACTGCTTAGAGAGGACTGTAAAGTACTGTGAAGCAGTATATAAATCTAAGTATTGTTGCTAAATGCTAAGGAAGGGAGAAAGAGAAAGGAAGGAAGGAAGGAAGGAAGGAAGGAAGGAAGGAAGAAAGGAAGGGAGGAAGGAAGGAAGATAAGAGCCATGGTGGCACTGCAGGCTACTTCCGCTGACTGCGAGCTGCCAGCAGTTCGAATCTCACTAGGCTCAACGTTGACTCAGCCTTCCATCCTTCCAAGGTCAGTAAAATGAGGACCCAGATTGTCCGGGGCAATAGGCTGATTCTGTAAACCGCTTAGAGAGGGCTATAAAGCATTGGGAAGCGGTATATAAGTCTAAATGCTATTGCTATTGTTAGGAGTGAAAGCCATCTGGATCCAACCAACCAACCATCCACTCACCCACCTACCTACCTAGCACTGCAGGCTAATTCCGCCGACTGCCAGCAGTTGAAACCTGACTGGCCCAAGGTTGACTCAGCCTTCCATCGTTCCAAGGTCTGTAAAATGGGAACTCAAATTGTTGGGGGGCAAAATGCTGTCTCTGTAAACTGCTTAGGGAAGGCTGTGAAACAGTATATAAGTCCAAGTGCTAAGTGCTATTGCTATTCTTATCAACAATTGTTAAGTCTGGGTCTTACCTGAGGTTCAACCATCCATTTTCCGGGTCTCTTAGCCTTCCCAGGGTTATACACATACGCCGAATATACTGGGATGCGGTTGTGTTTATCATACAAAGTGGCAAAACGGTACAAGTTTTGGTAACGCTGGCAAATGCGGACAGGGGACAGAGGGACCCCAATAACTGGTGGGGTTTCTCGGAGGAAAAACTGAGGACAATGGTCTTGAAAGGAATCCACCACCTCTCCACTTGTGGGCGTCTGACTCCAGCTCAGAGAGAGGAGGATGAAGCACAGCAGCATCGTGTGATGAAGTTGATGTCTGGAAAAGAAAAAGAAGAGATGAAATAGAGAGAGAGAGAGACGCTTGTTAAAAGAAGACCTCTGGAACAAGAAGTGGGATCTTCTCCTGATCTCCTTTGGTTCTACCTTTGCTTCGTTCTCTGCGTGGTGGGTACAAGGCAGGGGTGTCAATTTGAGGGCCGCATCAGGGTTGTGTTTGACGTCAGGGGGGTAGGGGGGATTGGCCAGCTCGACCTCATTCGTGTCAGTGGGGGCACCTGTGGTGGCCAAATGCTAAGGCAAGACTTCCCTCAGATCCTCCCTCCCTCTCATTATAATCTCCTTCCTTCCTTTCTTCTTCCTTCTCCTCTTTCCTTGTTTTTCCTTTCTTGCTCTCTTCTCATCTTTCCTTCTTTTTCTTCATCTCCCCTCTTTCCTGTCAGGGTTCTGGCAATTGCCCTGATTAAATCACGAGTCTTGAGCCAAGATTCAAAAGATTTATTAGGATCAACATGGTGGCATTAACCTAAAGCAGGGTTCTTCAAACTTGACAGATTTAAGACTTGTGGACTTCAACTCCCAGAATTCCTCCTCTAGTCATGTTAGCTCAGGAATTCTAGGAGTAGAAGTCCACAAGTCTTAAACTTGTCAAGTTTGAAGGCCCTTGACCTAAAGGAAGCCAACTCTGGCATACGTAATTTGCATTCACCTGTGACCTTGTTTCCCCCCTCCCCTTTGGGTGTATCATAAATCAGATTCTCCAATGAAGCACGTTCAGGGCTGGATGTCATCAATCATGTTCTTCAATGAAGGATTTTCGAGGGTAGAAGACCCGGTAGCTTAGCTACAATCTTTGTAATAAGGGTGGAGTGTACTTCTGGTTTTAAACTGCCGTAATGCTCCTTCAGATCTCCCCCTCCCCGGTTTATGGCAACTCGAAAACAGGCATAGGAATGCTTTATGAGTTGACATTTTCCTTTCTCCTTTCCTGTCCCTTCCTCGATGCTCAAATGCAAAAGGGGAAATGTTTCTCCTTTTGTTTTGGTTTTACTTTGTTTTGCTAGCCCTCTGCCAGTGAAAACAGAGCCTGGGCCAGATCAGAAAGCCATAAACATAGGTTTGTGTTGTTCAGTGTTTTGTTTAGTGACCAGAACAAAATAGGTTTTGCCCTCAAGCGTTCTTTTCAGCTTCTAAAAGCAGGGCTCCCCAAACATAGCTATGCTATGCTGGCTGAGGAATTCTGGGAGTTGAAGTCCACAAGTCTTAAAGTTGCCAAGTTTGGAGACCTCTGTTCTAAAGCAGGGGTCCCCAATCACCGGGCCCTGGACTGGTGCCGGTCCGTGGATCATTTTGTACCGGGCCGCCTATTTTGCTTGGGCGACGCCATCTTGTTTTGACGGCGCTTGAGAAAGTGCTTCTGGGTGAGCTTATCAGTCGGCGGTTGGAAAGCGGCGTTTGGGTGCTGAAGGAATCCTTGCGCCTTAGTTTCATCAAAGGGGGGGTGGCGGCTTCGAACGAAGAGCCGTCCCGATGGCGGTGGAGTCTCGCGTTACTCAGGAGGAGATTAAGAAAGAGCCCGAAAAGCCCATCGACCGCGAGAAGGTACAAAGGAGGAGTTGAAGGTGGCGGGGAGAAGCGGGGGACGGCTGGCTGGCTGGCCGGTCACTCGGCTCACCTTGCCTTGGTCATGTGTGCTGATGCCGGTACCAGTCCGTGGATCATTTTGTACATTTTGTACCGGGCCGTGGTTAAAAAAAGTTGGGGGCCTCTGTTCTAAAGGGTTCAAGAGTCCTGTGTGGTAGACCTTTTATTGCAGATGGGAGGGAGCTGAAGAATTTGTAGCTGTGGAGTCATCAAAGAAGGAAGACTAGAATGGTATGGAGACTCCTGCTTGACCAGGGTGTTTGATTAGAAGACCTCCAAAGTCCCTTCCGAGTGTTATTCTGTTAGAAGCAAACTTTTTCTTAATTATATTGTTGCTTCTTTGCTTTTTGTCCCTTCCTTCCTTTCCTTCTTTCCTTCCTCCCCCTTATCCCCTTTTCTCTCCTTCCTTCCTTCCCTTACTCCCTTTTCTCTTCTTCTTTCCCTCTTCCCTCCCTCGCTTCTTTCCTTTCTTCATCCCTTTCTCTCCTTCCTTCCTCCCCTCTCCTTATTCTCTTCTCTTCCTCCCTCCCTCCTCTCCCTTCTTTCCTCTGTTGCTTCCTCTTCGTTTCAATGAAATGAAGCAGAGAGAATAAATTGCCTGCCTCTCTGAATCTGTACCAGGAGATGGCAGTTGAGGTTCCTCCTTCATGGGACGTTCACATCCTGTTACCCACGATAAGATTCCTTTTCATCCCATGCTAGAAAGGATTCCTTCAAAAGTTGCTTTTTGAAGAGAGGGTTAAACTGGACGTTTGCGCTTGCTTTTTTTCAAGGGATGTATGCAGAATCCTTTCACAACATCTGAGATGATGGCCAATGACTTCTGGAAAACTTCAATTTTTCCCCTTTCTTTCTTTTTCTTTCTCTCCCTCCATTCTTTCTTTTTCTTCCTCCTTCCTTCCCTTTTTTTCTCACTTTCATCCTTTCTCCCACTTTCCTTTTCCTTCCTTCCCTCCTTCTTCCTTCTCTGCCTTTCCTTCCTTCCTCCTTTGCATATTGTTGTCCCTGTGAATTTCTACAGCTGCTCTGTCATAGTTGTGATTGATGAGTGGCACAATTTTACATATCAGAGCAACAGAGGAAGGTTAAACAGCAGCTTGAATTAAGCAGCTGTGTAAATGAAGCTGAATTATCAACCCTCTTTATTTGCTTTTAAATCACAGAGAACATGCTCCACCACATCTCTTCGTCCTCATTCTTGGTAATCTGGAATTGGAAGGAATACCTCTTTCCTAGTAAGAAATCCCGGTGGGTCTCAATATTAAAAAAAAAAAAGGCCGTGTTGAGACTCTGGAAAGAGTGCAGAAAAGAGCAACAAAGAGGATTAGGGGACATACGATGAACGATTACAGGAACTGGGTACGTCTCATTTAATGAAAAGTTTGCAGGCCTTCGGTATGCCGAGTTTAATGAAAAGAAGGACTAGGGGAGACATGGTAGCAGTCTTCCAATATTTGAGGGGCTGCCACGAAGAAGCGGGAGGGTCAACCTCTTCTCCAAAGCACGAAAAGGCGGGGCAAGAAGCAACGGATGGAAACTCATCAAGGAGAGAAGCAACCTAGAACTAAGGAGGAATTTCCTGACAGTGAGAATAATTAACCAGTGGAACGACTTGCCTCCAGAAGTTGTGAATGCTCCAACACTGGAAGATTTTAAGAAGAGGTTGGATAACCATTTGTCTGAATAGGGTTCCTACTTGAGCCGGGGATTGGACTAGAAGACCTCAAAAGTCTCTGTTCAAGCCCGCAGTGTTTGGGGCTGAAAGGAAATCAGGAACGTTCTTTGTATGGAGAAATTGGAGTAAATCTGGTTGACCTGAAGGGGGCAGCAAAGGGCTTTTTTCTGCATCTCTCTTAGTAACCCTTGTGGGTCTGCAGCCCAGGGTTCAATGAAATGCCTTTAAATGAAGAGTATTTGTAGAGTTTCAACACTGCCACAACATAGAGTCAACAACTGAGTAGCCCCAGAACGGAATTTCCATTCATGAAAGAACAGAACCTACGTTATTCTTCAGGAAAACAATCCTACTGACATAAACAGAGTTAAATCAGAGGGTAAGATGAATCAGCCATTGAAAGCTGACATGCTCAAAAGGAGGAACTTAAAAGAAAGCAAATTCCGTAATATTTCAAACTGGGAGCCTTGTTAATTCAGCTCACGTCAATCACTCTGTTCAACGTATGTCCAGAGCATTGTAGGTCTAAGCTGGCAGGAATAGCTAACACCCAAGAAGATAGGCTCAAGATCCAGATGGATCTCGACAGACTAGAACACTGGGCCGTATCTAACAAAATGAAATTCAATATAGAGAAAAGTAAAGTCCTACACTTAGGCAAGAAAATCCAAAAGTACACATATAGACTGGGTGAAACCAGGTTCAATAGCAGTAACTGGGAGAGGGATCTTGGCGTCTTAGTGGACAACCAGCTAAATAGGAGCCAGCAGTGTGCAGCAGCCACCAAAAAGCCAATGCAATCCTAGGTTGCATTAACAGAGGGATACAATCAAAATCAAGGGAAGTACTAATACCACGCTATAAAGCCTTAGTAAGACCACACCTAGAGTACTGCATCCAGTTTTGGTCACCACATTATAAAAAAGATGTTGAGACTCTAGTAAAAGTGCAGAGAAGAGTAACCAGGATGATTAGGGGATTGGAGACTAAAATGTACGATGAACGATTGCAGGAACTGGGCTTGGCTAGTCTAGTGAAGAGAGCGGTCTTCCAATATTTGAGGGGCTGCCACAGAGAGAAGGAAGGGGTCAAGCTATTTTCTAAAGCATCTGTAGGCTAGACAAGGAATAATGGATGGAAACTGAACAAGGAGAGATTCAACCTAGAAATAAGGAGAAACTTTCTGACAATGAGAACAGAAGTTGCCCTTGGAAGTTGTTGGGAGCGCCATCAGTTGAGACTTTCAAGAAGAGACTGGACTGCCATTTGTCAGAAATGGTGTAGGGTCTCCCACTTGGGCAGGGGGTTGGACTAGATGACCTACAATGCCCCTTCAAGCTCTGATTATCTGTTATCAGGGGCAAAGCTCACCCAACCAGTCTCCCTTAGCAACAGAAATTTTGAGCTGAAATTGTGTTGGTTCTATGGTTTTGGCCAACTTACGCAACTTGCGGTTACACCACTTTTTCTAATTTCACTGTTACAATTTTGTGCCAACCCACTTCCTTCCCCATTTCCTTATCTGCACAGTGAGGACAAGCAAATTCTTAGAACGTGACAGAAAAATAGCCAGAGATACCAAATTCAAAGTCAAATTCACCATGGTGGATTTTTTTATTGTAAAAGAATACGGGAACTTGAGAGTTAAAAGGGAACTTGAGAGTTAAAAGGGACCTTGAAGATCTTCTAGTCCAACCCACTACTCAAGCAGGGGACCCTAT